AAGATATAGATGCACTTTTACTGGTGTATTAAATAACATAGCAGACATTTAAAAAAATACATCTAAATGTTACCAACAATCAGAATCCTAGGAACAATAAGAGACTAGACTGTTTTGATGGGGTGTGATATTTCTAATAACCTCTAACAGCTAAGTCAAGCAGTAGCGTCATTGAGGTCCAGAAAAGGAACATACTGAAGTTGATTAACTTTTTCAAAGAAGGGAGTAAATGTGGTTCACCCTTCATACACACACAGACCCAGAACAATGTGAAAACATCCTGATGGTTTATCTCCACACCCAAGCAAAGCCTTGAAGCAGCTGAAGGCCATTTCCTCTATTTCAGTACATTTTTCGGACACTGTAAAAAACATTGGCCCAAGTTCTGAAAATGTGGGCTGATTGATGCTGTGAATTTGTGAGCTGGGTGGCAGATTTCTGCCACTTTCTCCGTCCCCCACCCTGAATCAAGTTATGAAAACAGTTATGAGAAGCCTCCATGTTCTTCCACTGCCATCTGAATCTCATTCAGAGACTATGTAGCATTTAAAAAGTAAACTTTCCTGAAGAGAAAATATTTCTCTAAAAGCCAGCTGAATGGTCACAGTCAAGATTCGCAGTACTTCCTGACACAGACACCCTTTCATTTGGAATAAACACCATCCCTCTGCTTTATTGCTGACATTTGAAGGGAGAGCCAAGACACCCTGACTTCAACCTTTTTTTTTTTTTTTCCTGGTACAAACTCCATTCTCCATCTTTTTCTTAAATTTGTATAGGAATTCAATAGAATCTAGAACACAGTTTCTATGAGTTGATTGAAAAATCAACAAAGACAAAAGAGAGAGGAGTAATAAGGCCAGCACTATCCAAGCTTAAAAGGAAACTAAAGGGGCGAATGAAGACACCTAGCTAGGACCTGGCTTGCACAGCCACCCACCATTGCTGCTGCACTGTCTCATCAGTTACTTTGGAAGGAACAAGAAGATAAAAAGATGAGAGTCTTCATCAGAGCCAGTCCACTATGGAAGTCTGACCATCAGTGTGGCTCCTCTGTGGAAGCAGGAGGAGAGAGGGCTGCTATGATCTGAAACAAAAAGGACATTTCTTCAGGGGAACTGACAGTGTTTAAGAAAACACCAAGCACAATATTATTTGTGGCCGTTCTTTCCCTATGACCTTCACATACTCTTTCATGTATGAACATTTCTTCCCTAGCATATATATATATATATATATATGGAATAAATATAAAAGTATGGCATGTTTTCAGCAAACACAAACACTGCACACTGCATTTTTGTCTTTAGGGTAGAGATGGCTTGTTAGTATCTTAGACTTGTCGCACAGATTTGCATTAGTGGCTCTGAGTTGTTTTTAGTAAGGGACATTACATTCTAAGACATGGACACTACCAGAGCAGCTTTAGCACACGAAAGGCCAGCATGAGTCAGGGACACAGTGTGTCTGTTTAGTATATGTTTCCCTGTCTCTTCTTAGCTCCTGTGACTAAGAACAAAAATTTCTTTTCAAGGTCCAATAAAATGCCCTGCAGAGGGCAGATGCTGCTTGCTCTCTGCCTTCAGCTGAGGGCTATTGACCCAGAACTCAAATCTATACCTAGCTTAAACATTTTACCCATCAGCATGTCTGCGGTCACAAAACACTTCTTCTTTCTGTCACTTCTTGTTCAGACTATTGATAAGATCATTTGGCAGAATCTGTTTGGGACCCTTGTAATATTGACTAGGAATTAGAAAAGATGATCAGATGTAATAAGCCCAGAAACGACTTTCCTAAATGGACATTTATATTTTAAGTCAGTGTTCCAGGAAGGACTTTAACTACACCAATAAACTTATAAACTAATCCAACATTGTTTGAACACTTCACTAACATTCAGAGCTACCTTTTTGTCTGTTTGCTTGTTTTGTTTGTTTGTTTTTAAGTGAAGTGCTCTATCTAACACATTCTGAAACAAACCTTTAGCACCAGGGTTTGAATATCTCCAATACACTCTTTCCCTCCTCTTTTAAAGTAGATCCTGTTGGGTTGTTGCTTACTTGCCTGATGAGAAAGAGACACTATTGTAAAAACCTTTGTTAAAAAAAAAAAAAAAAAAAGATACCTTTCCCTATAAACACAGATTATGGCATATTGCCAGGATTTTTTGTTGTTGAAAGATATTTGTTAATTATGAAGAATAATTCCTAGCTAGGCCTCACTTTTCTGAAGCTCTCACATTATCTATTGCTATGTGGGCAGAGGCTAAGTTCATCTAGTTCTAGTGATACTTTCCCAAACAACCTCCCAGGGAAGGTGCAGCTGACCTGGAAGGAAGGTGTAGGGACCTGGGCTCATATTTACAAGGCAAATATATATATATATATATATATATATATATATATATATATATATAT